ATCTTTTTGTTTTCTTCTACGGCTGACTGAAGTGAGGCGTTTTCGTGAATCTTCGGTTGAAGGAATTTCCTCAAAAGCTAAAAGGGACAAGAGCGAAAGAGATAATAGAGAGAAAAACAAACAAAGCACTAACACCAACTGGTTAACAAACAATCACCACTGCTTCAGCTAGCTAGAAAGCTAATTCTCTTCGATGTCTTCAGTGATCAAAGTTAAAAGACCACATATCGAAACCAAGGCCACGGCAGTTCCAATAGGGGACTTTCAAGAGATCTTTTAACGATACAAGCTGGATCTGGCTTCCAAAGCTGATTTACAATACAGCACATTCTAACCTAACGGCCGGACCATTAGAAGAGTGAATAGTGGGCGGGTGGGAAAAACAAAACAAAATCCAAACATGAAAAAAAAAAAGGGAATAAAAAATGCATACAGCCAGAAGAAAAACACATATCAGCTATAAAAGAGAAAAACAACACAACAACAAGAAAACGAGGTACATATTGCGAACGGAAAAAAGAAGGTTACAAGTAAAGCAGAAACACTACCATCCCCTCTTCCCTTTCCTTATGGCAGGTCCCTTTACATACACATGTAAGTAAGTTCAAAAGCTTAACGCCGTTCACCAATTAAACATGAACATGTACCTATCCGCATTACAACTACTGTCCTCCCTTATTATTCACTGACAGCAATCCCTGGGACATCTTAGAGTTGCACAAAAGATTGACGTGACTGAAATCAATTTTATCTTTGCTAACTACACTTGTAATAATGTAAGTACATACTCCACTGAAGTCATACGATAGCGGAACATTCCTTTTCCAGTTGCCATGATCTTCTACTTGTGTTTGAGTCATACAATGAGCTAAATCGTCGACAGCTGTTATTGCCTCCCAAGCAGTCATAGTTGTGGTTGTTTGGCCTACTGTGAATCCTTCCCAAAGAGGCAGCATTGCCCTCGTCGCAATGTTTCTGCCTTCAACAGGGTCCGATTTGTTCAAAAGTTTTTGCAAAAGGCTTTGTTCGCTAAAAATACCATCATCATACCGGTGCCAAACAGCTGAAAAACAGAGAGCGTCATTTCTTCTATAAATAGAGACTAATTAATTTAGAACTGGTGAGCTCTTGTCTTTGTAAAAGAAGCAAAAGCTTGATACAATCACAAACGTGAACTTCTTGAACTGAACTATGCCGATGCAATCATCTCTCAAAGTGATGAAAATCGTAGCCTGCAGGTATTAAAGCTCTCCATTTGGGGGATATTGAGAGAGTCACACGCGATCGGTACGCAAAAGGGGACTCGAGAGAAAGGGACGAGAAAAGAAAGGAAGGGCTCTCCTCTTCTCCACTCTTCGCACGTGCGTTCCCTCGTGACACGCACCGCTTGCAAATCGAAATAGTGGGCTCTCTCACAGGCTATATCATTTTTCAGTATTCGTCCGTGTTCGCTATTCGGTAAGCCAGTTTAAGTTGGAATTCTGATTTCGAGTCTTCACTCTGCAGCAAGGTTGGTGAGTTGATATTCATTCCACTACAACAACTTGTGTAATATGAGCGTTGTTGGCACTATTGCACAGCATAAAGATTTGTATGGAGAGAAAAACGATTATTATTTGCCGAGACTTACAAAACACGGCTTCCCTTCGTTTCGTTTTTCTCGCGTGGTCCCCGTGCCGAATGTTGTTTTCGGTTGAGCAGGCGTTTGTGGGGAGGGATGAAAAACGAGCTCCCTAAAAACGCCTGCATGGGAGGCTAACTATTCCTCCACATTTACAATTAATCCACAACCACGACGCCCAAGTTTACGCTCCATAGCGTCTTGTTGCCTTAAATTTGCCTCCTGGCTCTGTTGTTTGACTATATATTGTTGCTGATATTTTGAGCGATTTTCTCGTTCTAGCCATGAGTTTCGTTGATTCTATTTTTTCTAATGGCTTTGTTGTTTTGATATTTCTATAGTTTTTGTTTTGCAAAGTGAATCCCTACACTCTAGTCGTTAGTATTATTGGCTCTATCTTGTCGCACGGCAATCTTGTTATGTCCATGCTTTCTGTTATTTTATTGGTAGCCTTTATTTGAGTTTTGTTTTACTCTCAGCCATGTTTTGTGGTCTTATTCGGCGTTGGTTGTCTGTACTACTATCCCCTACTTTTACAGGTTTTAGTTTTCGTTGTTAGTTTTTCTTTCAAAAAAAGAATAAAGAGTCATTAGAAAAATTTCAACTTGTTAGGGACAAAAATGTAATTACCTCCTGACTCACGCCTGGCCTTTGGAATTTGAAGGGATCTGTTGCATTTGACTCCAAAGCCTTCTAAGTGTTCCCACATACACTTGTCTCTTTTGTTTTCCTTCCTTACAATGTACTTGTAACGAAGTTTGCGAGAAGCGTACTCAACTGGTAAGTGCAGCTGTGCCCTAACCAGGATGAATTCATTTTCCAAATACCTACAGTTAAATAGAACCTTATTAACTTCTTATTTGCTATTGAAATTCCAATACTATATTGTAACGATATGATGTTAGATAATCGTCTGGATCATCTCAATCGCCCAAGAAGTCCAGGTGATGCGGACGATAAGGACTTGCCTATTTCCTGTACCGTTTTCCACGAGTCCACACGGAAACGAGAAAAATTTGCAAGTTATCAAGCAAAGTACTTCACAGCTAAGGTTGTTACTCTCACTGTTCAAAGAATAATATATAGCCAACACTGTGTTAGTTTACTAGGCTTTTTGAAAGTTTCTTAAAAAGGTTCTAATAGTCTGGAAAACCGCTTGCTGAGACCGGTGATAGTTTTGGCGTCGTTAACAAACATGCATGGTTTTAAAAGAGCGCGAAAAGCTTTCAACAAAAGGAAGCTAATTATTTTAGCAAAACTTTGAAGAAAGTTACATTAACTTATTATTGTTAAAAATCCTCCCAGGGTTTCCATTTAGTGCCTAATAACATAATACAAATAACACCCCAGACGCTTGACTGCGAACCTCAATTTTGACCCATCCGAAAGGTGACCCATCCAAAATGCATTCACTTCGAAGCGAACTTTTTGAAGGCTGGGAACTAAGAAAGATCTGGGCGATGACATGGAAACCAGCCTTAAGGGGCTAAATATTAGATGCTCCTTTAGTAACGAAACCTTCGACAACAAAAGACAATACTCAGACCAAGGATCACGTTAACAACTGTTTTTGCAGAAAGTAGAGGTACAACAGAATTTGGATTTTGAGCACAATAAGAAATTAAGGGAAGTACAACGAATAATAAAGTTCGCAGTAAAGTTTGATAATCATGATTACAACTAAAATATGTCTTACAGTAATATCACCTCGACCCTGCAGAGGTACTCGGGCCATAAAGAGCACAGTTGTGTTGTTTCAGTTACATCTATTCACTAAAGCATCCTTTTTAAATACTTAACGACATTTATCGTACCTTACGGGATAAACTTCAACAACATCAGTATTGAAATCTCCAAAGACAGGGCCACCAAACCTCATGAAGATTCTGTCACCTTGCTGAGCATCAAACTTGAAGTTAGGGGCAAGAACAGCATGAAAAAAGACCGTCATTTTACTCTTCTTGTTTCTAGAAAAATATTCGGTGTTGTCTGTATTATCTTGATCATCTCTATCACTTGTGCGATTATCATTTTCTTCCTTGTTTTTTGACTGTTGGCTTTGAGTTTGCTTATTGCTGGTGGGTTGGTTTTTTTCATTTTTCTTGACTGCGTTTTGTGCCGACGCTTCTTTAGAGGCACCACTTTCTTGTAATTGCTTCCTGTCAAAACAAGACAAGCCACAAGTTTATTTAACCATCAAACCAAAATAGCTGAGATAGTATTTCCCCAAGCACCATGTTGCAAAAAATCGTCGTTACGAATTGTCCTGTGTAACTAGGAAGTTTCACCTTGTAGTGTGCAAAACAACGGCAAAGAAATGTACAAAAAAGGGTGCTGCACGTGCAAATTTTTTTTCGGCTTATTAAGCAACAATAAGGGCCTGTTTACAGGGAGGTCGGGGACCCCAGGTAGGTGAGGTGATTCGCTTAGGTGAGGTACTAAGGGCTAAAAGCAAAGCTCTCGTTAATATACTTATTGTTTACTCAAACAAAAAACAAAATTGTGTTATGCTAAACGGTGACGGTAACGAGAACGGCAAAAAAAATCAATAGGTCTAAAGGCACGGTAAAACGGGCAATAAAAAACGTGCAACTCCTTTTGCAACATTGCCCCGAAACGAGTTGAATAGCGATGAAGCACGTTTTACCACCCACGAAAAAAGAAACCTTGCAACCTTATTTGTTGCTAGACAGGTTTGAACGTCCGTGGTAAAACGCACAACAGGACCATTCAGGCAAACGAGGTCACTGCCCTGGTTCGAGTCATCAACCCCTAAGACGACATCGTCAACAAACAATAGGTTTTATGAGCGAAACAACAGCTCTTTACGTGCATCACGCTTTTCAGTACACTTCTTTGACGTCTACTGCACGACTACGACGTGACACCTCCTAATTCAACGTGTAATGTAGGACGTGAACATACGACGACGAACTGGACCAGGTTCTTTTTGAAACTAAACTAAGTTCTTACGAGTTCAACTCCAGGAGAATTCGCCTACATTTGACAAATAAAAAGAGATCAAATAAACTCGATAAAGTTTGAAAGGACGCTTATTTATTTTTTTAGCGAAGTTACTACCGTCGTCGTCGTCGCTTAAGAGGAAGAAAGCAGTTGGTATAATCCGAAAGTGAAGGCAAAGTTGTACATGTATCTATACGCGGTAGTAATAAGTTCATGTAGTAAACGGAAGAAATTTCTCGTTATTGTCCGTTTGTTTGTTTTCTATGCTGTAAAATTGAAATTTCCAAAATAAAGTGATTTGAACTGAAGGAAGTACTCACTGCGCTGCTAGTCGTTTTTCTTCTTCTTTCTTCTTTTTCTTCTCTTTCTTTTTCTCTCTTTTCCTTTGTTTCCTTCCTTTATTCTTATTGTTTGTTGAAGTTGGTTGTAGTCCCACTTCTTTTTTGGGGTCCGAAACGACCTCCTAATGGAAAACAAATGCAAATTCCCGGTCTGGAAAGGTGCCTTTCTTACTTTGTTTTGCTCATGCTGTTTTGTTGTTGTTGTTGTTGTTGTTTTTGTAGTTATGCAAATGATTGTCTAGTATGCTAGCAAATCTATACAAAATATTATCCTAAATGAAATTTATATTATTAACAAGAGCATCGCAGTAATAAATAGACTGCGTAACAGGCCGGGGGCGCCACTTTTTAGGGCACAGGAAGAAATCACGAGGACGCGACATGACCGGCGCTTGCTACGCAGGCTAAACACAGTGTAATAAGTGAAGGAACTTGAGCTAAAATTACGTGGATTGGTACTCAATAACCTCTTCTCGCACATGCAAATGAAATTTTGTTTGTGATAGTTTGATGCTCCTGATATAACCATTTCCTGTACCAACACAGGTGGCGAAGATGGAAATATGTGCACGGAAAAAATCAGTAGACCAATAAACCCGGTTTTATTAACCAAAAACCAACACACGGGGCAAAGGTCGGCAAAGAAACAGAACTACGTTAGGGCACTTTTTTTCCATGAATTAATCACTGAAATTTACTTATAACCATAACGTAGGCGGACGCACATATTTAGAGCTCGGGCTACCTGGACTAGTTCCTTAAATTCAGGATTTCCCCTCTTTTGTACGTAACAAAACATAATAAACTTCCAGTTATTTGAGTCTGAGGCCAAATCACCGTAGCACCAGACTGCGAGTATTTAACCTGGCAAGTCTAGTTAACACGACATTACCTCCTGGTCTGATTCATTTTCATCGCTGTCATCATTAGTATCTCCATCCTTTTGAGAACGAACACCTCCTTGTTGTTTAGAACCTTCTATAGCATCGCTCTCCTCTGACTGATCCTTAGCGTCGCCGTCACCCTTCTTGACCGGAGCAGGATCTGCATCCATGGCACCATCGCCAACTTTGGAAGATCCAGGTACCACTTTGTTGTTGTCATCATCTTGTATGGTTCCATTTAGGTCAGGAGAAATGAATTTAAAAACACGGGCGATACGTCAACATGCACAAATAACAAGCAGTAATAGAGAGCTTAAGAATACGACTACCCACAAGGGGCTGCAGTGCCTAATGATGGATAGGCTTATACCTGTGACTAGACCTACCCTGACGACCAGGGGGGTACTCTGGACTTCAAGGGAAGGGGATGATGGAAGGATTTTTTGGGTTCGAAATTTTCAATTCCGAGATTTTTTGAGCAGGAAAACTTGGCAAGTATGTTTTTGGGTGGCTTTATTTAAGTAGGGATTTTTGGGGGGTATCCAAAACCATCTGAAGATTCGTGGTAGGGACGCGGCGTATCGCGTCCACGTAGTTCTGCGAATAAAGTACAACCAAACTTTTCGTGTTACATTATTTACTGCTTTCTGAAAAATTTTAAGGCTCGAAAATTTGGCGTAGGATTTTTTGGGGGTTATTTTTTGGTCCAAGGATTTTACTGGATTTTGTTGGAAGCCCAAGGGGTTTTTGATTTTTGCCCCTATTCGATTATCCCTGTTACATAAAATCCGGAATACCCCTCCCCCCTTTAGCCCTAAGGCAACTGTTTCCCTCCTCAAGCCTAATATGGTCTACCCTAGGCAAGTGGGGGAGAGGCGATTCTCAGAAATGCATTGTAGAGCGCATTAAGCGCTAGTATCGTGGTCATTCGTTGTGCCCAACTCCGACCCCGCGCAGTACTGCCCTGCCTTGCTGCTGGATACAGATGAGTTTTAAACGAGCGGATAAGGACAACGAACTGTGCAACGCTTTCCTACGTTAATCCATTAGTCACCGCGCAAGTCACTTCATACTCTTTTTTCCAACCCATCTCGAGTTTTCAAATCCTATAGCAATGGACAAAAAATGAACGGGCAGCTGTGGGTAATAATAGCCATAGCAACAATTAATCTACACTCAGGCAATGTTGTATTGACAAATTCTCCGCTGCCTGTATAAACGTCCGACTCATTCTGCCGTTGTCAGCACTAAGAAGACTGAGGTTCGGTACATTGAGCCCAAAAGCACGGTCCATGGCCCTGTACGTTTATAAGTACTTTTGAAGCACATTGCCCCAAAATAGAACCTTTGAAATCATATTTTTGGACTGTTTACAAACCAGCCTTTCAAATAGCAAAGGCAGAAGCGTAGAGAGAATAAGTACGGAAGACAGTTGTGCACAAGACAGAACGCAAGACAGTAGGGCGGAATGCATGTGAAACCTGGAAGGTACATCAATACCATGAAAAACAGCTCAACCGCCTAACCCAATCAGCTTCAAAAATCTTCCAACCTCAAGTGGTGAGCCAAAATTTCGAACACTGAAATGCATGCCCATTAGCTGGCCTGCCCAGTACTTTGCATCATCTTGATCTCTCACCTGCATTTACCAGGTACTTAGAAAGACGTTCACGGAACAACCGACACGGTTTTTACTACACGATTCCACGACACCCTAAAGTGACCCCATGGACGACCTACCAACCCCTCATAACAGACATCTGGGGACAGATTACAATGGGCTCGGACAAAACAGTGTTGCTTCAATACTTGCTAATTACTGAAATTTTGTTTGTGAATAATAGATTTCATAAAAGTTTTTAAAAAGATACAAAGGTTGCAGAGTTGTCGGCCGCTAGGAAAGTTTGATAGTTTCAACCGAAAAACAACCCCTAGATAATTAAAGTGAACTTTGATGGACAAACACAAGTTTCGTATTTTGAAGCCTATTTGTAACATTGCTTGCTGTTCTTAGGTATTAAATGTGGCTACTTTAACTTGAGAAATAAAACATAGTCTCTTCTTGTATAGAACAAGTTATTTATATAATAAGCTGCATGCAATTTGCAAGACATACGTTACACTTAAATTTATACTAAGCAAGCTATGAATTTTTCCTCAATCAATCGAAGCAAATTTAATGAGTTGCTAATGGACTGGAAAGTGTACGCGAAAAAAATTAAATCCACATCTGGACGCCATAGATAAAACCAGTAAGACAATTAGAGGTTTCATTTAGTCTACCTGATGGCTGGTCATTAGTTGCTTCTTTTTGGCTTTGCTCTGAATCAACGCTGGCATCAGTGGGTGCTTTAACACATCCTTTACTAGCTTCATGTGCCCCCTGTTGTTCATCTGCTTCCCTTAACAGATTAAGATTTTGTAAGGCAGCTGCTGCTCCTTCTGTGAGCTCTGGTGAGTTGGGTTCATCCTCAGCACAAAAGGATGTTCGCTTTGCTGGCTTATCTGGGTCCTCACCCTTCCTTTTCCTTTGCCTATCTTCCTCATCTATTTAGAGAGGGTGACAAAAACATTTAAGAGCAGACAAACAAATATGTTGTGAGTAATACATGCAATGCATGCTTGCATACAGTATACATATACAACATATTTTGCTATCATTATGTAAATTAATTATTATGTACATAATGACATAAATCCAATTACATTTTAGGGAAGTGATCTGATACAGTACCACCTCCAAAAAAGAAAACACTAAACGGGTCTGTCATAACTTACTCCAGTCCACCAGGACCAATCCAACAGAGGATTAAAAAATATAATGTGCATATTATGTACTGACTGCCTGTCTGTCATCTTAAATGCATTCTCAAGAGAACCAAACAGCCACTTCAGAATCAGGAAGCCTGCATTATACAATTCTGAATCAATTAATTTAGACCATAATGCACAGCAGCATGCTCCAGTAGAATGATGTTTGTAAATGAAGGACTTTGTCCCCAGGGAAAGCTTCTTCTGATGAAACCACTAAAAACGAATCTCTCAAAAAAGACAGAAAAATTCATCAGTTATGCACCTGTATCTATAGAAGTCCATAATCCTTTGTAATGAACAATAGCAGTGTTTAAATCCATTCCTGTTCCATATTAGATCAGAGTCAAGAAAGCTATCATCACCCAACCTAATTCTGCATATTTTTCCTTTTTTCAAGTGAAGCGCTGGAAATAGAAGCTGTCTTCATGCACGCTTATGGAATTTACAGAAGCTAGCAAATCCTTCTTAGTTTCAAGGCATATTTCATGAGGTTTTTGGAACAGACGCCAATTCAGAAGTAAGTTTTTATGTCCACATCTGGCCCCCATTAACAAAATCAGTAAGATCAATGCAAAGTTAATAGAACCACCGAGAAATTCACTTAGCCTAGTGAGTCTACATGTACCTGCAGGATGGTCATTAGTTTCTTCTTGTTGGTTTTGGTCTGAGTCAATGCTGCCATCATTGGGTGGTTCAATATATCCTCCAAGCTCACTACCTTCATGTAGACCTTCCATCTGTTGTTCATCTGCCTCCTTTGGAAGATTAAGATTTTTTAAGGCAGTTGCTGCTCCCTCTGTGTGCTCAGGTGAGATGGGTTCATCCTCCGCACAAAAGGATGTTCGCTTTGCTGGCTTATCTGGGTCCTCACCCTTCCTTTTCCTTTGCCTTTCTCTCTCATCTATTTAAAGAGGGTGACAAAAACACATTAGAGCAAACAAAGAAACATACTGCACTTACAAGTGTGTATACATACAGGCATGTTTGCATATATGCATATATTGTTATATTATTTTTTTATTATTATTATTATATTATCATTATTCTTTTTATTATTATTATATATTTTTATTATTATTATTTACAATTTGGGCAGTTTAAAGTGTCTGAATGCTAGGTCCAACTAAAAATCACAAAGGCTTGGCAGCAAACCATGACCAACCTTTGTTTTTTTTCTAAAAAAGGTAATGATAGTTAATTAACAATAATTGTTTAGAAATGTAAAATATCACTTTCAGCGTCGATCATAACGCATGCAAAATTAATGTAAAATTACATTACTTGTAAAATTGATATATCTATAAACAGAATAAGTAGCTCAAAGTGGTTCCCAAGAAAACCTGTGGGTCGTTGCCTAAGCCAGCTTAGTGCTCTTGGTCACTTCCAGTGCCAGTAAAGGGTCATCCAATGCACCTATTCCTTCTGTCTTTTGTGTCAGATAACGGCCCGCAGTTTTCGTCAAACGCATTTGCCCAATTCACCGAAGAGTATGCGTTTACCCACATTACGACCAGCCCAAGGTATCCACAAGCGAATGGCGAAGTGGAACGCGCAGTTCAAACAGTGAAACACCTGCTTAAGAAAGCTCAAGATCCTTACAGAGCTCTCTTGGCATACCGTGCCACACCCCTTGAGAGTGGACTCTGCCCAGCAGAATTGTTAATGGGAAGAAAGATCCGTACTCAAGTCCCTACTGTTCCAGCGCAGCTAATCCCCAGTTGGCATTACTTGGAGCAGTTCCAAGAAAAAGATGCTTCCCTCAAAGCTAGACAAAAGAAGAACTTTGACAAGCACCACTTTGCAAAGAACCTCTCAGACCTCTCCCCTGGAGAACGTGTTTGGTTACCGGACCAGAGGGTAGAAGGGACAGTTTTGGACAAAGTTGGCACCCCACGGTCTTACGCAGTAGAGACCCCAAATGGCGAGCTGAGGAGAAATAGACGCCACCTGAACCTCCTACCAGACCCACCTGAAGCAGGAAACCAGAGAGACAGTGCAGTTCCTGATCAAGCCTTGCCCAGTATTAAGATCAACAGTCCTATCCAGACCCCGACATCTACTACTCCTAGGAGGACCACACGAAGTGGTCGCGAGATAAGACTCCCAGAACGTTTTAAAGATTAGAGACTCTGAACTTTACTTTGTTTGCTTATAAGAAAAGTTTGTTTCCGACTTAGAGGGGAGATGTGATGTAATCGCTTTAGATGTCCCATTAGTCTTAGCGGGCGGGCTGTTTACCATGTGCTCCTTGTACTTGTACTAGCTCGATTAAAGCTGTTGTGTTATAGCCTGTTTCGCCTCTCAGCAATAACATTACAGAGCCCTCTATCTTTTGCAAGGACTTTGTTGTTACAGGTGTAGAATCTGCACTGCCTAGCTTCAAGGTAGTGGCCACAGGCCAGTTCAGAGTCCCTTCGTAGCTGTCTGATTGCTTTGGCTAAGAGTTTTCTTTGACCAAGGGTCACATCCAAGTTTGCAACACGAGACTCTGTATATGACCAGGACTATGAGAGGATTAATGTCCACTGTCTCTTTCTTTTAACATTATTGGTGTCACGCCAGGTTTTGAAGTCAAACATTGTCATTATAAAAATCACAACAAAAAAATACAGAGTGGATGCTTATACTTACTGCTCAGTATTTCTGTTGATCGCCTAGACTAACTCAAATTATATTAGTTTACCCTGCCATTTCCCACTCATTTCTTGCCTTCCCCAGTGTGACCAGTTGGATCTGGATGCTGTAGTTTTAGATCCATCCCTAGCTCCTCTGCAAACTTTTGTGCATCATTAACCAGAGAGTGCCTTGAACCAGCCTGGCCAGGCTGCTTTCTCTTCAATTAAACTCTCGAATTACAAAGTCCCATTGTAGGATCTGTGTTTCCGTAGATATTCAGTACTTTTATCTTTGTGATCTTATACTCTCCTTAATTAAATTCTCTGCTTTATGACTATCATTATTATCATTATAAAAATTATCATCATCATCATATACATAATTATATTCAATTTGGATTTAGCAACTCCAAAAATCAACTAACTGCAGTGTATTTTATTGCACAAAAACACCACAGTAAGCTGTACTTTCAACAGACAACCTTTAAGGAGTCAAGTGACTGGCTTGGTTATGATAAACTACATTGATCATAATAAATTAAAGTAGTTGCGTAAATTAAATTTAGACCAAGGACACGACAGACATAAAGCTAAACAGCCAATTGATGAACGGGACCATGCAACATCATTAAATTCATCATGATGCATAATATTGATTGCTTATTATCGTTTATTGTTTTGTTTGCCATAAGATTATACAAAGCAAAAAAAAAAAATCTAATTATTTAAACTCTCATGACGAGGAAGCCCAAGAGAAGCCACTGGGCTTATAAGGAATGGGCTCCCTCAGTTAGATAATTAGAACGAAATATTATCATAATTACACATGGGAAAATCAATGGCAGAGCTACAGTAAATCTTAAAATAAATATATTAGATAGTCGTACTAATCATAGTTCTAGGCTAAAAAAAGCGAAAAGACAAAAAGAGAAGGAAAAAAATGAAATAAAAGAGCAAAGGTAAAAAAAAAAATATATATATATATATATGTATATATATATATATATGCATTACTATTTATGATAAGAGGAATGCTTTCAGCTTACAGCAAAAGGAAGCGGTATTTGTTGCATTTCGAATTTCAAAACTAAGAGAGTTAAAAAATTTAGGACCTTGGAAACTGATGGAGAACTTTCTTATGTTCGTCCTGCATTGTGGTAAATAAAAAAGCTCCGAACTTCTAGAGTTGCTGGAAAATGAAGTGGGTTGAAGTGATCAATGTAGCAGAGGGTAAAACATTGAAATCATTTTTCTGTTGAAATCATACTTTCATTTAATGCCTACACCACAACAGAAAAAATTATAACAGTTCCGCTTTCAATCTGAACTCTGTACTGTAAAGTTTTGCTGGTTTCATAAGCTTACGGTTATGTATTAATTAGCTCAGCTCGTCTAAAGTTTTATTGTTAACCATCGAAACAACAAAACAGCCAAAATGGTTACTTTTTTCAACCTTGAAGTTTAACTTTTCCAGCCCGAAACAAGTTATAGGATGTGGCTACCTGCTAGCCACGGGTTTTGATAAAAAATTAATGCAAACATCTATATTCCTTGTCTCCTAACCCTAAATCCCTGGCCTGGGTGGCTTTATCTTCGTGTAAAAAGAAATCTAAATATGAGACAAATGCATATCGGACAGATAGTGATTTGAAAACGTTCATACTAGCAGATAGGCTGCCGTCATAATGACAGATCTAGATTGTGTATATCGGTCAACCCCGGAAATCGGCAATGGAAAAAGCAAGGAAGGAAAATCCACGGCCTACATTAACCGTGAACCGCGTTTCTAATATCCATTGATCCATAAGCTGACTGGTAACCCACCGAGTGAATCATTTCTTCCATTATTTACAACGTTCTGACCTTTTTGAGTGGAGTCTGCAATCGCGTCTGTCGACTTCTCTAAAGCGGGTGGAGGTGATGTCGTTTCTTCTGCAAAGCGCAAGACCATAACACTGCCACATTTCAAGCATTTGAACCTTCGTTCTTGCCCCTCTTCAAGGGCATCGCTCTCACAATGCAAGCATTTCATGTTATGTTTCTTTCGGGAATTTTCCTTTCCCTTGGACTTCGAAATGTACGCATCTCAGGCAGACTGAGACAGCTTGGTTCTTGGAAAGGCGGAAGTGGGTTTCGAGGAAGCAACGCCTGGGTGATCTCCCAAGGGAGGGCTAGAAGAGGAATTTATGCCAAGGGAGGTGGGTTTAGGGATAAGAAATAACTGGACAAATAATTTCCATTAGGGGCCGAAGGGTGATTGACGAATCAATTTTGGGGATGAGGCGATGGATTTTTGCAGTTTGTTGTAATTATGCAGCGATTTCCGAACAAATGATTTCGCACAAAGAGGCGGGGAAGGGCAAAGCCCCCCTGGCCCCTCCCCTTCTGCGGTCCCTGAGAACCTGTAGTGCATGCCTAAGAGGCATATAAAGCCAGCCAGAGGCAAGCGACTGGTGGTGAACTGCAAGGGACCATGGGAAGGGCACGGGCGGCATTTTCTTCCAGAGAGAGACGTCTGGGTAGTCGTCTGGGTACGAAGCAGAGACAACATTCTTGGCATTTTTAGGCAAGCTTTTATTTGATATTGTGCTCAAAAAAGTGGTAAAATATACTTCTAGCAGTAAAAACCTTTGAATGCAGAGGTCCACTCAAAGCGTAAATGAAACCGACTGGTTAATTCTTTCTTAGCTCTGGCCCTGAAAAAGGCTAATTTTACTAGCCAAAATATTGGCCTGAAATAAATCAGCCCTTTGTCGTATTGCCAGCCTTGCATTCAGTTTTGTTTTAATTCCCACTTTACTTCTAGAAGTGCTCGTATATTTCTAAATTTATGCCAATAATTATGCTAGTTTTCGTCCACGGTTTTTGCAGTTAATTTAATCCTAGTTTTTGTAAATTATACTCATTTTAGCAAAAAAACATGCAGAAATTATGCCTCTACTTTTTAACTTTAAATTTGGCAAAAACGTAAAAAAACAGATCCTGAAAAAACAACACCTCAATTACTGAGCAACAAGTTACTAAAAAACGCATTTACCCTATTTACATCTAAAAACGCTGACACCATCTTGGCTTACGGAGCTAAAGCTAGTTATGCCCTGGGTTGAATCCTGTGCCGAAAAGAGTAGCGGGTCGCAAAGCCGGTCGTAGCTTGGTCGTAGCGGGCAACGTAGCGGGTCACTTCTAATCTTGTACCCAGATCTCACTCTGCCTTTCCCTTGGCGGCAGGAGATCTGGGTACTAGACTAGGTCACTTCCCGTGGAAACAAGGTCCCATGAATGAGAAAAACTGATAAGCAGTTTTGTTACTTAAATTTACCTGTAACACTGACCTAGGGCCAAAAAATCTAGTCAAAAGTGCAAATTATGTTGGCAGTGCATTTTTCGGAAAATAGATTAAAATTATGATCGTGATGACAAATTGTGCCAAACATTATGCTAGCACAATCTATCAAAGCCTATTTTTTAGGGGTAAGAAATATTAGTTCTCAGAGTTACAGGGATAACTCGGAGGATAATCAGCAGTTCGGTGGTTCGTTTCACACAAGCCACAGCCGTTTCCGTCAACTGCTCTTCACGGTCCGTAACAGTGCGACAGTATTGGACATGACTGTCATATTCCATTGGAGGTTATATAAAAAGATGTAAGTTTCTTTAAAAAATGCCCAATACATGTATATTCAACCATTTGAACTCACCATTTTAACGTGATAAAAGGAGTTGGAAGTTTGACGTCTACATCGAAGGGGGATTAAATTTGCAGCAAGTGATAGTACACTTAAGCAACTATGTTTGTAACTGGTAACTGAATGAGCACCGCCTTTTTTTTGCGCTGTCTACTTGCTGAGGAGTTTCAACATATTCAAGTTTAAGGGCAGGGTTCAAGGGAAGGTTAGCATGGTTAGCAAGCGGTGGCGTCATACCTTCTCAGGGAGACGGTCTCTGTGGATTACAGTGTGCATGCAAACTTTATTTCTTTTCAGCTCTTTATTGGAAAGTGTTCGCGGGCGTAGCGTGAGTTTTTAGAGGCGTATACAAAGGACGAAAAGTTCTAACGCCGAAAGCGCCTCAAGCTAGTGTGCTCTCCCAGAAAAATTTTTAATTCAAGGAATCGGAAATGCCATGTCCTGCGTTTTCCACAAGACATTTTCAGTGAATCAAAGAAAGGAAAATGCATCATTAGTTACAGTTTCAAGTCTTTTCCTCTTGGTTGTGTTCTTTACCCATCTCTACAGGTCTTCTCTAGGGTCAAGTTATCAGTAAGGTACATTATGATTACGGAAAAAGGGTAAAACAATAAGGAGATCAAGGAGGTAACGTCTACCCTTCAGACGAGCCCACTCTGTTTGAGCCCCATCAATATCGACGTCGTCCTTGTGCTTGTGTATGTGCAGACTTGTTTCAAGAGAGTTTTATCAGTCACGGCCCAATTTAATGATACAAACGCTTTCAGGAAACTGAAAAATACTTTTTTTTCAGATTTCAGCTGCACATGTACGCAGGGGCGTGTGTGCGTAAATAGACGCTACACCCCTGGTGTCTATTACATTGTTTTCCTTGTAAAAGCACACGTCCATAAACTGACTATGGCGCCTGTCATAATCGTGCAAAATTTCTTTTTTGATTATCAATAGTGGCTAATACGTACGTAGATCTACGGACCTGTGAACAGACGTACAACTTGATACACTCGCTCTGTCCTCTGTAGAGGTAGCCTGCGTAGCAGGCGTCGAAAAGGGTAGAAGATAGGGAGGAAGGGAAAAAGGGAGGGGGATTTCACCCTTTTCTTCCTCTCCCCTCCACCTCCCTTTTGCGCGTGCCATGCAGGCTACTGTTGAGGTCCCCTTCGTGTCGTAAGAAAGTCATTTTTATTGGAATACCCAGCGGGGAGCCACTGCGGAGGAGAGAGTTATCGGCAGGCGCGCGCGTGCACAAGCCCATGACAACCACCTGTCACACTCGACCCAGCGAGTTTTGTTTGGCTTTGTCACGTGATAGATGCGGTTTCCTAACTTCTGATAGATTTGTTTGGACTGAGAAAATGTAGCATTGTGTAGTGAATGATATTTACCGAGTCGTTCAAGATCTTGAGCTGTATGGCATAATTATCTACTGAAATTACAGGCGATTTTACGGAATGGAGCATATTTCAGTTGAACGGACGCCTCGAAGGACCCCAAGGAAAGTATCGGAGAACGTTCGCGAACTGCACAACGCGTTAGCTAAAGTGCTTCATAACGAAGATCGAGCGTTCTTAATTCAATCACTAAACCAATATCAAAGAAATAGAGATGTCAACAGTCTAGTTGTGGCTCTTAAGTCGGTACTCAACACACCAAGGAAGAGAGAAGTCTATCCGTTGTTATGGCAAATTATTCCTCACAGTGACCAAGATATTTTTCACAACCTTTGGCATCGCGATGCAGAAGCTTCGCGCCAACGTAGTTTGAAATCACCCGCTAGATCGCCAGGGAACCTTCGCCGGATTCCAACCTCTTCGAGTTTGCCAGACAATCTTCATCGACATGCATCTGACTCGGGTATAGATCTTCCAAATATGACGCAGTTTCAATCCTCGAAAGAAACAAAATACCCCATAAAACGATTAACTGTTAAGCGGCCTTCAAACTCAGGGTTTGGGTTCTCAATTCGTGGAGGAGCCGAACATGGCGTTGGTTTGTATGTTTCTTCTGTGGATGAAAACTCCGTGGCTGAAAAAGAGGGTGTTTTACCGGGTGACCATGTTATTCAGGTCAATGGAACGAGATTTGACGGACTAACGCACGAACAAGCTGTCAAGGTAACGAAAATTTTAATTTCACTGCAAACCATAAAACCTTTGTTTGGCTTGATGCCTTACAGTGTGTTTCATTTGTGAAATTTCTCTATTGTTGTAGTTTTTTGTTTTCTTGTTTCACAACTCTGTGATACCCGACGGTTCTACTGTCTAGGATAATTTCTCTGGACAGTAAAATTTGTTCGAACGATGATTTAAATGACCCACGATTTCGAAGAACACACAAACAATTATCTTTATTCACGTTCTGAACCCAAGCTACGACCCTTTTGTTCTAAATAGCCGTAGGTGGTGTTATGTTTGCATTGAAATGAGTGGTTCGTACACTGTGTGTACGATGTGAATTTTTAAACCGGCAATTTTCATGAAATACCGCAGGTACTTCACATCTGTTACAACCTTTGAATATTGTTAAAATTTTATCGTGCAGTTCGACTTCGATTACTCCAGGTTGTGTTTACTTTGATGTACAAGTGAAGTGAAATTAAAAAGCCATTTCCCTTTCATCTCTGCAACCATGTCATACTTTGTTAAGTATTTCATTATTTATAATACACCAAAGTTCAGACGATGACAGCATCTGTCGTCTCGTAGCATTCATATATAGGGATTGTATACGTTGTGCTGTTGTTCAGATAGCTTGCGTGGCGGGCGTTTGAAAGTGAATTAGGGAAAGGGAGTTTCGTGCGCAAATTGCAAGTTTGCATGCATTGAAGGAAAATGTCAAATGGTTACGTTAAAAGTCAAAGTGTTTCCTTTACAAACAATTTATAATACATTGTAATTCAATGAGGCTGAGTACAGTATGAAGAAATTACGCAGATCAAGGATCGTAATCCACGCAGGGCTGCAGAGGTGGAATATTATATTATTGTTCATATCATTTGAAAGCCAATTTCAATGATTGTCTAATTATTCATTCAAAATATTTCCAAGTTCTTAACACCCTTACCTCCTTGTAGACTTATCAGGAGCCGTGACTACAGTTCAAAATATTTTGAATACCATTTTAAAGATGAAAATTAAACTTCATTAATGTACAACAAGTTGCTTAGTCCTTGTTCTATCGATTTCTTTTTACTGCAGATTATTCAACACAGTAAAAAGCTCTATCTGATTGTCCGGTCAGTTGGTCGCATACCTAACAGTTTTGTCGCGGAGTCCACATGTAAGTGGGTAGACATACAAGGTAGACGAGTGTCTCCACCCCCTGGATTTGATGACAGTGGACATAAATTAACTGCCGAGAGTATACACAAGAGTGATTTAAGGCTTCTAGGGGACGATGATGAGCGCAAGGTTTGTCAAAATAGTCCTTAAGATCTGATGACGGGGACAGCAATGGGAATGTCAAAAAGGAAAAAGTTTTAATAAACAAAACAACAACTTTGCACTTGCATCACACTTTTTTTGTCCTTTTTTTTTTGGCATCACTACATGACCATGACATAAAAATGCATGATTTCCATTTTATGGTGGACATAAAGCAAAAAAATGAATTTTCTTTGTCTTTCTCAACTTGGATATGGTTCTTAGGAATTTAACTCCAGGAGAGTTTGCCTACATTTGACAAAGTAAGTGAATGTGAATAATCCAGTGGAGATTGAAAGCTGGCAAATTTAGTTTTTTACCAAATTTTTGGCACTGCTGCCATCCTTAGATTTTAAGGTCCCTTGCTAATGACATCTTCTGATGGCAAATGTTTTAAGAATTATCAGAACAACATTTGACCGTTTGACCTCAGGGCTTTATGGACTTTGAGTGACTCATACAACTGTACATTTGATTTGCAGGTAAACATCTTTGTTGAAGATGGTGAAAATTTAGGGTTGATGATCCGTGGAGGAGCAGAGTATGGTCTTGGAATCTTCATTGCTGGAGTAGATCGTGATTGTGCAGCAGAATATGCTGGACTGAAGGTCAGCTCCCATTGTAAAATTATTGTAACAGTCAGTTTTATTTGTGGTTTTATAATTTAGATTAATGACTGTTAATTATAATACTTGTGGAAATGGGAATCCCAGTTTCTAGTTCTATTGTCTTGTTTTAGTACATATTCATGAGATAACATCAGTAATAGCAGTGTTTGTTGCAGTTTGAACTATTGTTCAAACAATTTAGGCAAACTGTAGGGTACTTAATCCATAGAGATATTTTTTTTCACATCTTAATCTACTTAAAACTGCACTCCTTCTATGTCATTTTAATGCTTCACTGCTTTGTGTTTGCTGTCAGTGTTTCTTCAGTAGCTCAGCAATATTTTTGCTTAGGAGAAACTTTCATCTTCAATGCTTCCCAATTTTAGTTTCCTCAGTCAAAACCCATAGACAATAAATTATTGTACAGTCACACCTGTATAACATAGTACCAATTAAGCCCTAGCTATGTTTCTACATAATAGAACGAAAAAGGAAAAACAAGAACTTTTTGAGTGTCAATGTATTCAGCATGCAAGTCCTAATTGAGGAAACTATTTTTATGACCCTGTTGTTGATAGGACTGTCATTTAAATGGCCATCCAAGCCTTATGAAGGTTTGGCAATTTGCTGCACAAAGGCAGTACCTTCATTTCTGACTTTTTTTAAGGCCCTGAATATTAGTCCAGTCCTGGGAATTGAAGCTGCAACATCCCACTCTGCAGTAAGATGTTCCCTCAACTCAGCTTGTCCTGCTGCAGTTATAAGTTGATGAATACTACTGGCAGGGGTATTTTGCAGAATGCCCAACCCTGAATGACCATTAAGTTAAGTGATTTACATGTAGGTTAGGTCAGTTTTCCCTGTATGATGACCGTAAGTGGATCCTGATTCACTTAGTTTCCTGACCCTAATCACTAAACTTCAGAGTCATTTGGCATTGGCAGCCATTTGGCATTTGCAAAATACCCCTGCTGGATGAATATGGGTACTTGTGAATATGACATACAATGATTGTTGTATAATGTACAGTTATCAAGATGTGGGTTCTGTTGTTTTTTAACAAATACTATCACAACTCCAAACCTACTCCTGCTTGATTGAGCAGCAATGCATATTTTAAACATACATTGTATGGTAAAAATAGTATTGCTGATAATAAAGTTTGTCTCAAAGGCTGGTGATCAAATCCTGGACGTCAATGGGCAAAGTTTTCTGAACATCACTCACAAACAAGCAGTTAAGGTGCTGAAGTCAACCAAGAACATGATAGTTACACTGAAAGATATCGGCAGGTTGCCATTCACGAGGGTGACTCATGATNGCTGAAGTCAACCAAGAACATGATAGTTACACTGAAAGATATCGGCAGGTTGCCATTCACGAGGGTGACTCATGATAAGACAAACTGGATAACAAGATCAGCTAAAAATGGCCAGATACAACGGTTAGTTGCATTATTTAATAATACATCTGCAATATTATTATTTTTATTATTGTGTTATCTTATTTGAACAGAAAATAAGATAACAAGCTGCTGGCTTGGGTGCCCTATTGTTGCTGGTAATAAAATCTGCACCCACTTGTGTTGTTTTTTATTAAAGCTAAAAGCCACTGTTGAAAGTCTGACATAAATTCCGTAAAAAACTGTCAACGAATCAGATTTTAAAGCTTATACGGGCATTACATGCTAAATGCTGAACATTAATTATTGATTTAAAAAACATAAAAGCAGAGTGGAATTGCAAGACCACACACAAAACGTACATAATTCTATGATAATCTTTCTAATCTGTTCTTAAGAAGCATTTAACACCCACAATGTTTCTCTTACAAGACTAGTCACCTACCTTGTTAAAACCTCTGGTTTCCTTTTTTAATTTTTTGTACCTTGTACATTATTCTGACAGTGTTTACCGGCTATCACATTGTATTATGAAGTGGCTTGGCAACTCTCAAGGTAGCCATTTTTGTAATGAAAATGTTAAGGAAAACAATTTTTTTCAAGTCAGAAAATTTTTCTAAAAGTAAAAAAGAAGTCAGGAAAAATTATAATTGTTTCATTTTTCAGTTACCACAGGGTTGTGAAGAGTATAAATAAAACATTGTGATCCAGAAAAGCCATCTATTGTCAATTGATTTTGATTTTATATGATTATCCCATGAAAAATCCAAATGCTTTGAAGAAAATAAAGAGAAGAATATATTTTGTGGTCTACGAACGAAACTGTGATAGCTAATAAAAAATGAAAACACAAAGCCAGTCAACCTATATCATTTAGATGCGGGGTTGTAGCCAAAATGTCATAGCCTTCAATTCACAAGTGATCCCAGTGGAGGCCCACTCTCAGGGCAAGCAAATTTTGAAGCATTTAAGCTGGTTAGGTTAAAGACTTCTAAATTTGGAGAAAAAAAAACTTGCAACCTCTCTACTCTCTAGCCAGGAGTGCTAAAAGCAAGATGTACATCTCCATGTAACAAAAAAAAATTGTTTCCAAAAAGGGGGCATCCACAAGATACCTGGTTGCCAACCTGGTGTTGAAGAATTTGTTTAGATGTCGGTGAAAAGTTAAGGAATTTGTTTCTCTTCTAATTAGTGGCTACCCTGATAATTTTTCTCCTCTGTTTCACTCTCTGCACATATTAGTGTTCCTGAAGGCACTCACATCACTGAAGTTGAAGTCCACGCACCCTCTGCTCGCTCAAGGCACCAAGGCCAACCTCCTCTATCTTATAGGTACACTATCTGTTAGTTTAACATTATTTTGTTCTTTCCTTTTGTGATTGTGGCTGGCAAATACTTGTCAGTTTGACATTGCTAATGATTATTAGATTTAGAATTTCCTATCTTTTGTTATACTATCAGGGCTCAAAATTAAAAAAACTTGCAAACTCCCATGGCCATGTTTTCGGAATTGCAAGTCAGAGGAAGTTCCTATCCTCTAGCAAGCATTTGTGAGTTAGCACCTGAACGTACTGATGGCTGGTCTTATGTGCCACTCATATGCACATCTACACTGCACCTTTTCACTGTGTCATGTTCCCTATACACACAGAGAATGATTTTCACATATTTCGAGCTGCTTTTTCAACTCTTTCTTTCAAAGAATGTCAAAAAAATCTCCTGTTTTGACTTGCTCTTTACATCTAAGTCAATGATAGCCAGTTAATTTACTCAGTGCTGCTGGAAAAAAACCGCTAAAATAAGTTAGAGTAATGTAAATATTTCTTGGTTGCAACAGCTAAGTTGGGGATAAAATGCTAGAAATATTTTATCGCCTCACTTGTTATTCTTTTCGTTTTGTTTTCCTAATAAGTCAACACACAACAGCTGGCAGAATGGGATATGAACGCGATGGAGAGGTACGTTATTTATTTATTTATTTTTAAGCTTCTAAATGCTTCAGGGATAAGTCAGTTTATTTGCAGCTTTTGTGAGTGGTATGCTTATCATAAAACGCAAATTAGTACTTTGTGT